GCTCGAACTCATGAACCACAAGATCATGACCTGAGCCGAAGTTGGACGCTCAACCAACTGAGCCACCCAGGCATCCCCAGCTGCTGCAACATTTAAGTTGTTGTGTGTGTTCCTCACAGTGTCCTTTGCTTGCGGAAAAAAACTCTGAGCGGGACAGCTGCCCATGGGGTGAGGGAGTGGGTGGAGAAGGCCAGGCCCAGGCAGCCTTCTTAGCCACTTCCATAAATGTAAATACAGGATGTGGGCTTGGGTCCCTGCAGGTTTTAGAGAACAATTTGCAGCAGTCCCCATGAGTTTTAATTTCTGAGGAACTCAAAGAACGGAGGAGACCTCATCGGCCAGAGGAGAGAAGAGGGGTCCAGCACCTCGCTGGACAGCCGAGGGCACGGGGTGTCTTGCCATGCCTCATGCACATCCCTTGACAGCTTCCTTTGAGTCTCTCCTCAGGGGTCCCTCGGTCTGGGAGTGCAGGGCATTCAGGCTTTGCCTCAATTCCCCGTGTGCTTCAGGGACTGGCCGAAATGCTTACCTTCTCGATGGAGAAACCCGGATGCCTCAAGGCCCCATGGAAAAGGCATTTCATCAAACCCTTTCTCGAGTGCATATTGCTTTCCGCCTTGTCTTAGGATGACTGGTGCCCATGTCCTATCTTACCTACTAGACTGTCAGCGTCTGGGGAACACGACTGAGTCTTTTCCGTCTCTCTCTGCCCTGCCGCGACACTCAGCTGAGAATGGCACCCCTCGCTTTGCCTCTGCCGTCCAGACACCTGCGGTCTGCTTGGGGTGGGACAGCCTCCCTCGAACGCTCAGGACACTCAGGGCTTGATCAACATGCATTCAAGTTCTCTTTAAGTCGCTCCGGGCACCATGATGCACTCTTTACCCCTTTAGCTTATGTCCAAGGACAATCAGGCAGGAGACAAAAGCCCTAACCAAGCCGGAGATGACCGGCATGGGTGACAGAGGAAATCAGTGGCCCTTTTGAGGGCCTCAGTTCCCTCTGTAAAGGCAGGGAGGGGCGGTGGAACACCCTTTTGAGGGGGTTAGACCCCAGTGGGAAGGAACATCACCTTCACCCTAGCCCTGCTTCCTTCCACTGTTTCAAAAGCCTCTACAGCCATTATCAACAGGGATTCTTAAAACATCCTGGGAAGTGAGGAAAGCTAAAAAGGGGGGGGGGGCCAAAGAGAAGGAGATGTCCCATCAAAATTGGCAGCAAAGAATGGAACCCAAATCGTGACTTGCTGACTCCTGAAGCTGGCTCTGTCTGTGAACCCACATGTGCCAGCGCTAATGGAACGAAGGAAAAAAACAAACCCCCCACATCCTAGGTTTCAGGGCTGGTGGAATCCTCGAGGGTCCTTTAAATCAGTGCCACCTTTCACAGAAGAGGACACAGGTCCAGACTGGGGAAATGGTGTGCTTTAGTCCTACGATGACTCTTAAATCCAGTTTTGTTCTTTTCTCTCAGTTCCTCTTCAAGAGCTGCGGTGAGCCACCAGCTGAAATTTAGGAGACTCGGGATCTGGTCCCACCCTGCTGCCATGTCACCTCCCCACTCAGTACGTCCACTTGCACCTGCCGGACATGAGGCACTGCGGTTGAGAGCACCCAGTGTCCCCTCCGCCTAGCGTGGCCAAGACCCTCTTCCCATTTCTGCCCCAGATGGGGAGAGCAGGGTGGCGGAAAAGCGGGGGACAAACAGAAGCAGGAGATTGGAGGGGTCACCTATACCAGGGGAGGGGACATCAGCCCTTTGTCACGGGAGGGAGAAAGGCCAAAGGAGAGGAGGGCACTGATCATAAACGCACTGGATCAGAATCACAACATACCTGTGCTTCTTCAGCCGCTTCCACGTCTCCTCCTTCCTTGGCACCTCCTTTTCCTTCTTTGAGGGTGCTCTCTGCTCCTTGAGGGAAGTCCTCCCATCCTTCTTCCTCCTCTCTGTGCAGGTCCTCTCTGTGGAGCTCCGCCCCCGTTCCCCCAGCTCTTCTCGGTGTCTCCTGCGCTCTGCCTGCTTCCTCCGGGGGGACCCCGGCCCTGGGCTGCCCCCGGCCCGTTCCTTCTGGCCAGGCTGGGCTCCGCGCCTGCCCGCGGCACCCTCGGCTCTGGGAGCCCGCTTCTTTGAGGGTCTCCTCCCGGACCTGTCACCTGCAGGGGCAGGAATTGGGCAGTTCTGGCCTCACCCGCCTCCACCCCAGGAAAGTGCCCCCGGCTGTGAGACACCAGATGTCCAAGATACTTCCTGGAGCTTGTTGGCTCCAAAGGCCACCTCTTTCGGATCCCCTGGTCTGCGATGAGAATTAGCGTCTCCCTCTTCTGACTGGTTGGCACTCCCACACTCTTGCCTAAACCTCAGGTAGATGGGGGGCCACCTGGGTGGCTTAGTCGGTTGAGTGACCAACTCTTGGTTTTGGCTCAGGTCGTGATCTTACCGTTCGTGGGTTTGAACCCCACATCGGGCTCTGCACGGACAGTGTGGAGCCTGCTTGGGCTTCTCTCTCCCTCTCTCTGCCCCTCCCCCACTCATGTGCACGCTCTCACGCTCTCTCTCAAAAAATAAATAAACATTACAAAAAAAAAAA